CCAACGGATTTCTGCTGACTTTCTTCGATAGTTGGTCGGACTGTTTGCTCTATTTTGTCATTTTTCCTTTTATTTTGGTTCTCGATGTTCTTCATCTGTTCTGTTCTGAAAGCCTTGGCAGCCGATTTATCGAACACTGCACTGCATCGTGGGCATAATGACACATCTTCGTCTTTTTCCTTCTTTCTATTCGAAATTCAATGAGAGAATCTCCCGATCGAGGGTATATTTCCTTTTCGAACTCTTTCTCGAATTCACTCAGGTCAAATTCCATATCTTCCTCAGATACATCCATCCTGACATGCTTAGGATCGATGTCTTCAGTGACATCTACCATGCCTATGAAGGCTGAATGTGTTAATCGGACATCATCAGTAATGCCTGTTTGGGATTCGAGGTATCCTACTTGAGCCTCGAATGGACTCGTATCAACTTTCATTGTCATTTCTTCGAACTTCAACCTTCCTTGGTCGATCGCATCTTGGATGGTGTTCCTGAAATGTATACAATTGTTAGTCCAATGTCCATAAACATTATGAAATTTGCAATATTTTCGATCATTCCTTTGTTCTGCAGACGGCAGTTTATGATCATCACTCAACTTAATCTGTTTGTCTTTCAATAAAATATCAAAGATTTTGTCTGCTTTTGTTACATCAAAAGTATATGTTCGATTTGCCATTTTATCTTTTACTTCATTCTTTTGTAGCAATTTACAGGTATATGGAACCCCCACTTTGAGTTCTGCTAAGTTTACTTTCTCATCGACATTTTCTTCAATATCATCTTCTGTCATATTATCTGTCTCATATACATCATTTATGTATGTTATTCTTTCCTTTTTTAGAGGTTTCTCATATTTCTTATACCTTTGTTTCTCATACTCGATTTGTTCCACTCTCCTCACTTTATCAGCTAATTGAGCCATGTCATTTAATGGTAAATTGACTAGTTTTTTCCTAATCGAGAATTCTAAACCTGCAGAGGCCATTCTGACTAATTCATATTCAGGAATTTGAGTGAAACATCTCGATTTCATTTGTCTAAATCGATTCAAATAATCATCTATGCTTTCATGATTGTATCTTTTTATATTCATCAAGTCGATGAGACTCACTTGAGTTTCTCCTCTAAAGAATTGTTCATGAAAATTTCTTTCCAATTGCAGCCAATTATATATCGAATTAGGTGGCAATGACGTGAACTAAGTAAAAGCATTCTTAGTCAAAGAACTCGGGAAATATTTCATTTTCAATTCCTCACTCATCGCTAGGTCTCCACATTCGATCTGATATCGAGCTACATGCTCGATAGTCGATTCACCAACTTCTCCAGCAAATTTGGTGAATTTGGGTACTTTATATCCTCGAGGCAATTCTGTCTCGAGAATCGCATTTGGAAAGGGAGACACAAAATATGTCTGATTGGGTGGTCTAAATTCCATCCCTTGTAAATTCATTCTTTGTCCCAACATATTATTCTGATTGTGTATGTTTTGAAATCCTTCGTTCAAATTTCCATAAATATCATTCCTCACATTTTGATACTCATTTCCCATACGCTGCTGTTGGTCATTGTTTCTATTTCTTCTCAATAGATATGGGGGATTAATATTAGTATTCTGGTTAGCATGATTTTTTACCCTTGTTCGTCGAGGCACATCCAATGCATCTCCGATTCGTGACATTTGGTCTGCTAATATCTCAAAACTAGCAGTAGTGTTTTGCACTAATGGATTTAGGACTGTAGTCAATTGTTGTGATAACATGTTCACCATTTCAAAATTACTCTCATCCATTTGCTGTCTAAGTACCCCTAATGAATTACTAGATATTCCGGTACCCATTTCGATAGAATCAAAATTAGATCGATGATAGTCTCTATCGAATACATGTCTCCCATGATCTAAGTATCCCCTCTGATCTAGATTTGGAGGTATCTGTTGTGTGCCTACATTCTGTCCATTCCCTGAATTCTGGGGAATTACTAAATTTTGCGACGTCCCTAAATTCGGAGGGATTCCAAAATTTTGTGGCATACCTAGTGTTTGGGACATTCCTAAGTTATATCTCGAATTCCTATGCGTTGAAGAAGTTCCAACCTCACTCACATTATTAAGTGAAAACTCGGGCGGTCTTACACTCATGCGTGGCCCTACATATGTGGTTGTGGGATTTCCTATAGTTTGCATATTATTCGGTATCACCGTACTAGATCCTACTTGGGTGTTTGCTAATGTACCTGAATTTTGTTCACTACTCACAGGTATCGACATGCTCACAGTTGTCGATACTACAGGTGTGTTCCCATTATGACTTTGTCCCCCAGTATTTGGTGGGTGTGACACATTTAATCCCTCACTATTACTCTGGTTACTTGATGAACTGTGATTCATGACTCTCCCACTCCTTAATCTCATACAATCTCGAACTAACCAATTTTGTGTTTCTCAACACAAGACCCCCCTACCTGGCGCGCCAATTTGTTTCTGGTGGAATTTCGATCGATTTCGATTCTAAAGGTATTTTGGTCCTAATCAAAATTCTACCACATAAGCTCTTTTTACTTAGGCTAGCAATTTGATTTTCAATCGAAAACGTGTATGAGAATCGAAAACTCCAGGATATCAAAAATGCTGTTTTTGGTGTTTTGTATTTAAAGTATCGAAAGTATTAAGACTATCGAATCGAAAAGCAGAATGTTAAATTGCGAGGAAATGTAAATTGCGAAAACCCCAAACTTGCATTAATTGTAAATAGCAAGAAATCGAAAACAACGCAAATATAAATGACAAGAAATCGAGATTGCAAGAAAAGTAAATGACAGGAAATTGAGATTTGCAGAATGTTAAATAACAGGAAATCTAAATGCAGAAACTCAAATTTTCATTGAATTGAAATGGACAAGGAATCGAAAATACAGAAACATAAAACTGCTGAATTTAAGTTGCATCAAAATAAATTACCAAGGAAAATACAGAAAGCGGTAAATGTACTCAGTGAGCAAGGAAATCCAGATTGCCAGAAACTTCATGGTGTTCGTCGTTTCTCCGGTAGACTTTTCACTACTGATCCTGTTCTCTGCCAATTTCTCCCCCCTTTTCCTTCCTCCTTTGCTCTATTTATAGGGTATCCTTCAAGCCTTCCAAGAGCAGTTAACACGACTGCTATCACGTTCTACGTGCGTATGACCGTTTATCTTCTATAGTTTCCCACGTTCTTCACGATCTCCGACTTTTTTCCATGATTTCAAAACTGCTCTTTATACGTGCATTCGACTTACTTCCTTTCACGATTTGGCCAAAGTCTTGATGTCCACATTCAATTTGTTTCTTACTCTCGATTCTGTATTTTTCGAGAACTTCGAATTGCTTACGATTCCTTTTTAACCCTGGTCTTACATGACTTAGTTTTTATTCGACAACAGTCATTTGATTATTATTCGTTCGATTCTCGATTGTGCTTCTCGATGCTATATGCCATGTATTTCTAATTAGACATCGAATGAATTTTTGTTTATCTTATCGAGTCACATTTCTTTCCTTCGATTTCGATCGCTTTTCTCGATTTGCCACTAACACAAGGTTAAGTTTTTATATACATATTTAATTCGAGCTTATATATCTCTATACATGAATATGGAGAATGAAAGGTGCATAGAAAATACTAATAATGAGAGTGACCAAACCATAATGCATTTTTTAATCCATCCCCATTACAATAAATTTTTCGTTCTTATAAACAAACTTCTCCATGTTAAGATTTCTCATAACCTAAATAAAAAAAATGAATAAAAATCAATTTATAAGTTGATTTATTATATTAAATTAAACTTAAAGTTTAGATTCCTATATAACTTAAAGAGCACAATTTATATTAAACAAACTTCCAAAACCAAGAGATAAAAGCAAGTGAAAAACTTTATATGAGTAAATGATATTTTAACGTATCATGGCCAAATAAGTGAAATCTACCCACATGCCAAGATCAAAAGAAAAGAACCACCAAAAGTTTTATAGCTTATTCTAAGGATAAACACGACATGTATCATGATGGTGTACTAGGTGCGATTCATAATGTCTTGCTACAAAAGCAAAACATGCCCTCATTACTCTATTTTCCTCAATCTTCTCTCATTCTTATCTCACAATCATTACAATATATGCCCAACTTGAATAACAATCTAAATGTTTTCACTTCCAAAGGAAGACATATTCGATTAAATTGTATCTCTACTTCACTCTTTAACTTATAAAAAAGTTGTTTGTTTATTTGATTACTTTGAAAGGAAATAGTTGCACACAAAGAAAGTTTCAACCTTGGAAAACATGAAACGTCATAGGAAGAAGATATTGGTGCACGAACTTTTGCAAAGGAGGGTTAATTTTCAATCACAATCCAATTAACATTGGGATGATGAGGGATTAATTATAATTGTACATAAAATGCAAATTTACATGGAAAATTGAAATATCTCAGCTTTCGAAGAAGCAATGAAAGAAAAGTTTATAAAGAATTAAAATGGTATTCTTTTTATAATCTCATTAGGGTTAGATCTGAATCTTAGGGTTAAAGCGTGCTTACTTTGCTATCATTGGTTGGATGTGTAAAGACAAACATTCGGTGTAAAGCAAAATTAATTAATGCCCTCATTGGAGTGCCCTTTTCCGTAATAAATGGATTAATTCACTTTCTCTCTAATACAAAACGGTATACGATGTGTTCGAAATTAACACATAAATCAATTGAAACTGAAGATCAAATTTTTTTATGAGTTTATATTACAAAGAAACTCTTATCACCATGTGTGGAAAAGGTAACATTATTTGTAATAATAAGCAAGAATTATGTTCCTTGATGCACCAAACACATAGTTTAGGCATGAATAGAGAAATGCCCTATACTTTGCCACTCAATCATCATGCAACCCTTCTCTTTATTCCATTTTAAAAACCATTCCCTCCATGGAAGAAGAGAGAAAAAAACAAAACACACACAATAATGTCCAACCACGACAACAACGTTGTTGAAGACCATGAGGGTCTCATGTACCAAACCTACCCTTGCGCATACTATGTCCAAAGCCCCTCCACTCTTTCCCATGCCAACAGCGCAGACATACGCATCCAAAACGACGCCGAATCAACCTTCCACTCTCCCATCCGCTCTGAGACCCACCCCTTAAACCCTACCCACGAAGAGGACGAAGCCTCGCGCTTCGCCCTCTGCCGCTACACCTCCTCCCGTGGCTCCAGTCACTCCTTCTCGCATCACAAGAAGGTTTCCTACGACGGAAGTCATGTTACTGCCACCGAAAACGGCGACGTCAACCGTCTCGTTATCGTTGACGGCGGTGGTAACGATAATGGTGAGAATGAAGCTGGAGAGGGAGGATCGTTTTTTGAGTATTATTACGGGAAGAGAAAAGGAGGGTGGAGGAGATACTTCTCTTACCGTAACTCTGATTCCTGTGCATGGATTTGGTTGCAAATGTGGTGGAGAATTTTGGTGAGCTTTGGAATGGCTTTGCTTGTGTTCTACATTGCTACAAAACCTCCACCACCTAATGTCTCCGTTGAGGTACGTACACAAACACAATCCAGTGTTAATTGCATTAGTTATTCTATTGGTATAATCTGATGTGGGTGGAATCATTGTGTAAAACTAGATATGGGTTTATCCGCTTCATCTTTTTGCTGTAACTTTCATCATGCTTCTTCTATCTTTTAACTGTTGGTTGTGTTGCAGCTACCATAGCCAAAAATGTATATTCTCTGTACTCAAATATTGTGCACTCAAGTCAATAAACATCATATAGTTTTTTAAAAATAATCAATAACTCTAACATATTTATATATACATGTAAAATTGTTAATATATATATATATATATATATATATATATATATATATATATATATATATATATATATATATATATATATATCGTTGCTTTATGATTTGCAGATAGCAAGGTTTCCAGAATTTAAACTTGCAGAAGGGGTGGACAGAAGTGGAGTGACTACAAAGATCTTGACCTGCAATTGTTCCTTGAATTTGATGATAGAGAACAAATCCAGGTTCTTTGGTCTTCGCATTCGTCCTCCCACCATGGAAATGAAATTTTCCAACTTACCCTTTGCATTTTCTAATGTAAGTATACCCTCATTTTTTTCCCTGGATTTGGTGAATGTTTATCTTTGACCTAAGTTGAATTGCGCAGGCCCCTGAGCTGTATGCTGAGAGTGGCTTAACAGTTTTTGCACTGGAATTGGGAGCAAAGAACAAGGCAATGTATGGTGCAGGAAGAAGCATGCAAGATATGCTTGATTCTGGAACAGGATTGCCTCTGGTTATACGTGTAATCTTGAGCTCTAGTTTCAGAGTGGTTCCAAGTCTCATAAACCCAACCTTCCATCACCATCTTCAATGTTTCGTGCTTCTCAACAACGCTTACGATAACAAACATCGAACCCAAGCATTTCATAGCACCTGTAAAGTAGCTTCTTGATGAACTCTATGCGTGCCTTTTGGATCTCCTTTTCTTTTATATTTTTTTACTCTTGATTTTGGTGTCCATATTTTATCAAATATAGAACTTTGGTTTAATCTTTAATTTTGAATACATTTATTTATTTTACTTTTACATTTTAATTAATTAAACTCTGTCTTGATACTACTCTAATCAATATTTGAAAAACCACCACCACTAACTCAGGTTTATCGTTGTACTGTAGTTGAATTATTGAATAATTGATATTAATAAAATAATAATAATAATGATTAAAAAATATTAAAAATAAAATATCATAATTAATAATACTAAAACATCAAATTACATTAACCTGTCAGATCAAGTAAACTATTTTATACAACCTTTTCTAAAGTCTGAGGTGACGTTATTTGTAAATTACATTAACTTATTCTCACAACGCAAATATACCATCCATGTACACAATGAATGAGAGGTGATGAAAGGAAAATGTGGGGTGCAGAAAGAAATGTCACATCCATATACTTAAATTTTTTATTATTAGTTTTCGTAATTAAAACCATTAAAATTGCAAATTAAGTTCGTCACGTGTTTCTATGTTTTTTTTATTCTTTTAAGGTTTAAAAAATAATTTTTTATTAAAAATAGTATATTATAACCATGTTTAAAAATTATATGTATTGGTCTCTCCGAGACTAAAGTTGATGAAGGAGTCACACATGGTGTGTAAATGGACTGTAAAATATGTTGGTGGGGAATTCATTGATGTGAATTTCAAAGATAAAGTAAATGATGACGATGATGATGTAGATGAATAGAAGTGGTGATATTTTGAATTAACAGTGAGGGATGGGGTATTGAATAGTGATGGTTAATATTACGGAATACTACAAAGTATAAATAAACTAAAAGTTTAGGTCAAAGTAAGTAAGTGGATATGAATGTTCTTGTTTTGGAGGCTTAAAATGTGGGAATATTCTTACAATAAACTATAGGAATAAAAATAATTAAATATAATAAACAAAGTTTTTATATGATTAAAAATTAAATAAATAAATTATAATAATCTATAAAAAAATAATTAATTTTAAAAAATAAAAATAAAACTATATTTTAAAATTTAAGTTATATTAATAAAATTATATTATATTTTAGATATAATAATTTAATATAAATAAAAAAATAAATTTAACATTTTTAAAATAAAAAATAAAAAAATATTATTCTACCCTTATACTTAATTTTTTAACTTAATAATCTAAAATAATAATTTATTGTAACGATTAAATCTTATAAATATGAGAGTGATAGAGGTTTCTTTTTATATTATTTTTCAAATTAATTTATATTAATTTTTTATAGAATAAATTTATTTGTATTTTATTTTAAAAAAAAAGAATCATTATTTTATAAAGAGATTAATGCATGAGCTTATGAGATTCAAGTTACAGGTCAAAATTGATTTAATTCAAATTCAAACTACTTAGTGAAAAATCTTATTTTCACTATTAAGGACAAAATATAATACGTGGAAAAAAAAACTTATATCAAAATGGAGAATAATTATTTTGTTGAGATACATTGGTTGGAGAAAACAAAGTCATTGTAAATAATATAGATAGATATATATTTGTTCTGAAAACTTATATATTTATTGGATCAAAGAAGTTTTTATTTAACTTGTTTCTCTTTTAACAAAATACAAATCTACGTGACAACTGTTGAACTAATAAGTAACAAGAAACAAAGTGTTCCTAAAAATTAGGATTTATTTAAATTGAAATAACTTTCAACAAACTATAATAAAAAAAATTTCACTCTCTCCCTTAAACTAGTTAGTTTACTTCAATCAAATCTAACTTTCTTATCTTCTTTCTCAGTTTTTGTAAAGCTTCAAACTTTAAGGTTTTAGTCATCGCATCCGCAGCCTGTTCCTCAGTTCCACAATGCAATACTTCAATTTCTCTATCTTTCACAAAATCTCTTAAAAAATAAAAACACAATCTAATATGCTTGTTGCTCCGACCATGCATTATTAGATTTTTTTTTAAGCTTAATTGTTGAACTATTATCACACCTGATAATAGTGCTATGGTCTTGGACATGGGATAAATTTCTCAAAACTCTCATCATCCTCATTGCTTGATAAGCACTAGTAGCAACAACAAACTCTGCCTCAGTGCTTAAAAGAGTAACGATTGGTTTTTTTTTAGACATCACGATAATGTCCCTGAATTTAAAAGAAAAACATAACCAAATATATTTTTAGAATTGTCCTCATCTCCTGCATAATCAAAATATGTGAATGCAAGCTGACCTTCTTTTTCTCCCTTCCTATAAATATCCCAGTACCTTTTAAATACCTTAATATTCTTTTAGTAGCTTGCAAGTGTAACTCAGTTAATTTTGACACATACCCGCTAATGAGACTCACAGTGAACATTATATGTGGTCTTATAGTTGTCAAATACATTAAGCTTCCTACAATTTTCTTGAAGTAAATATCATCCACAATTAGGGATGACAAAACAGGTCTAGCTCACCAGCCTATTGTAATATAGCAAGGCAGAGTTGGTACTTTCAACCCACCGAGCCGCGAGACGAGGTGGGCCAGCCTGCAGCTCGTCTAATTAATAAAAATAATTTTTTTATTGTAATACAGCTTAATCATAAAAAGAATATATAAAGTTAAAAGTTGTAAAAAGAGTATTAAAAAAGTCTTACTCTCACTCAAACATAAGATCCTATTTTCTCATTGGTGTTCATCATCTCCTCCTTGTTCATTCTAAGCACCGATTGTTTTATCCTTATGACTTGAATTATAGGTGTAAAAATTACTCAAGAGGAAAACAATGTGAAGTTTTATCAAATAAAAAAGATATAGCTAGAGAGTTTGTTCACCTGGAACGGACATTTTTGAAAACCTTGTTATTATTTAAAGGCCCCATTATTATCAAATTAAGAGAAAACAATATGAAGTTTTATCAAATAAAAAAGATATAGTTAGAGAGTTTGTTCACCTGGAACGAACATTTTTGAAAACCTTGTTATTATTTAAAGGCCTCATTATTATCAAATTAAGAGAATTGTTACAGGCAGGATTCAAACCTAGTACTTTAGAATTGGAAGTCGATATTCTAACTACTAAACTACTACGATTTTTTGATAATAACTTACAAATAAATTATATTTATTTACAAGTAAATGTATATCCGTGTAATTATATAAATATATATATATATATATATATAAAATATATTTATATATTTATATATTTTGATATATTTATAAATTTATATATTTTAAATATTTACCGATAGATATATATGTCGGTAAATAATTGTTATTGTTAATTTATCGATGAAAATCGGTAATCACTCAGTAATTTTCATCGGTAATTACTCATTTTCCGACGAATACATATCCGTCGGTAACTATCCATCAGTAATTAATTATTTTCTTGTAATACTCCTCACTTTATCATTATGAAATTCATCATCAACCCACACCAATTTGGTGTCTATTTGTTCTTTATAATTTGAACCCTAATCCCAACTCTTCTCTTCTTCAAACATGACATCTTTACTAACTACGATTCTCTTTGTCTTACGGTTAAACAGACGACAACCCTTTGATTCATTACTAATACCCAGTAGAATACAAGGGAAACTCTTATCATCCAATTTACCTCTTTTTGCCTCTGGTATGTGTACATGTGTTACACATCCCCACACTCGAAGGTGCTTCACTAAAGGCTTGATGCCAGTCCAAACTTCTTGAGGAGTGATGTTCCTTACAGCATGAGTTGAGCGTCGATTTAGCAGATAAAATGCCCAATTGACAACTTCTGTCAAAAAGGTTTTGGGAATACGTTTGGCAGAAAGTAAACAACGTACCATGTTCATGACTGTTCTATTTTTTCATTTTGCTACTCCATTTTAGTGTGGTGTATAAGTTATGGTAAGTTGCCTTTTGATTTCATTTGCTTCACAAAACGATTAAACTCGAATGAGTTAAACTCTCCTCCTCTATTTGTTCGTCAGCATTTGATGGATGTTTCTACTTCCTTCTCCACCAATTTCTTAAAAAACTTGAAGTAATTCAAAGCTGCTGATTTTTCGGAGAGTAAATAGACCCAACTTTTACGACTGTAATCATCAACGAAGCTTAAGAAATACCATTTTCCACTGTTCGAGATGGGTTGTATGGGTCCACATATATCTGCATGAACAAGTTCCAAGACCTTGCTAGCATGGCATTCACTTGATTTAGGAATTGGATTACGATGTTGTTTTCCAATGAAACAATCAGTACAAGTGATATATGATGCTTCAAGTTGAGGCAATTCACGCACCATGTGTCTTTGTTGAAGAGTTTTAAAACCTTTGTAATGTAAGTGACCATACCTTTGATATCAAAGGTAGGTAAGATTAGAGGAAGTGTGTAAACACTCTCCAATAGCAGTAGGACGGGTGGAACGTTCATTGGAAAGAATGAACATATGATTTGTACTCATGTTGGTGTGTGCAATCAAGCCTTTATTTGAATGATAGATGTTGCATATCCAATTTTGGATGAGGATGACAAGACCTTTTTCTTGTAGTTGCCCCATGCTCAACAAAATTTTCCGAAGCTCTGGGACATAGTGTACGTCGCGTATGAGAAAAGTAGTACCATTGAACATCAATTTAACACTGTTTGTTCCAACTACAGTCATCTGAGAATTGTTTCCACATTTGACAAAGTGTTAAGTGTCTGCCTTCATTTCAACGAACATACCTTTGTCTCCACACATATGATCAGAACATCTTGAGTCTAAAAACCAGGCATCATTCCTTGTGACTCCCTTTTCTACAGTAGCCATCAACAGAAGCTCTTCTTCTTCATTTAATTCTGCATAATTTACTTCTTTGTTCCACTGGGGACATTCATATTGTAAGTTGCCCAAATTGTGGCACTTAAAGCACTCCACTGTAGCTTTTGAGAAGGATTATCTCCCTCTTCCACGTCCATGACCT